CTCGACCATAGGCACATTGTGCTGTTGTAGAGTTTCTCTTATGTTATCCTTCCATCTTGTTCTTGGTCTACCCCGTGCTCTACGTCCTTCTTCTCTTTTCATGTATGCTTTGTATGGTATGGTGTCACAAGGCATTCTCTCTAAGTGGGCAAACCATTTCACTTGCTGTCTTTGTATGTAATCCAGAATTGGTTCTGTGCCGACTTGTTCTCTTATGATCTCATTCCCGATCTTATCTCTTATGGTCACTCCTACAGCCCTTCTCAGACATCTCATTTCCGTGGTTACTAATTTTCTTTTATGGTTTGTTGTGAGTGACACTTATAGCGCTACTAAATTTATTCTCAAGGTAAAAACAGCACTAACAAATTTGTCCAGTTTCATCTTGTTGGATGAAAACGTTCCTTATTATTTTGAATTTGTTGGTAACTGTTTAAAAATACATCACACATATTTCTGAATACTGCACATAACAATGCGTATACGTGTCATGAATGGTATATTATTTTAAAGGTAAGTGAAGCATATTAAAATAGACCATATAACTGCAAATGCTGTGCAACATACACATATCAAACACAAAAATTCCTTATATAGATACCGGGTCTCGTTGTTCAAAAATGAAACAAGCAGTATCTGTAACAAGACTAAAGCCCAGAAATATATGAACAACCAGAAGTTTCTGCCAGACTTTACAGCCAGTGATCGTGAAGCAGAAGATGATTCACATAAATGAACACAGACTATACAACTGCAAATATACATAAGAAGTAGATGAACAACCAGAAGTATCTGGTCCTACTTTTACAACACATATTTATACTGTTAGTCAACAATTAGTAAAGTGGCGAAGAGTGACTTGCTGTAAGAGGTTAGCTAGTAAATGTTTTTTATCCACTTACCCGGAGCTCTGAAATATCTTGACACAATTTATCCACAGTGTAGTTGCACCATTTATGCATAGTCAATATGAAAGCAATAGTTTTCTTCCAACACAAGATAGTTTGCACCTGACAACTGACAATATTCTCCAGATCTAGCTTCCAAATTACCTGTTTGTATTTTCCTCAACAAATAAACAGCTAATTCAAAAAAATTCCAGACAACTAACTAGACACAGTGACACATACATCACAATACGACTGTCTGCCGTGAATTTAAATTCAAATTACTGTAATCTAACAGCAAAGTTTGAAAAATCTTGTATATTCACTTCACACTACCCGCTTTTCGATTTGTAAAACGAATACATTCAGAACACAGCACTTCGTAAGCACATTAAAATGTCACACAATGCAACACATTGAAACGGCTTCCACTAACCAATTTCTAGGGGACTTTGCCAAAATGTCACGTGATTCAGTTGGAAGGACTATAATAAAGAAGGGCGTGGTCTTTACTAGTTATCTTGGTCGGCGCTCGTTTGGGTATTAGCAGCCTGTTTACCAGCCTTAGAAATTCACCATATTACCGCAACTCAGTAACTCGATTGTCCTTCCTAGGATTTCGGGCCCTTTGTAGTTGCGGTATACAGTTCAATTACCGCCATGTACAGCGAGTATTTCCGAGATGTGACAATAAAAAAAGCAGTCTCAGGCTGCCGCACCTAAGACAAAGAAGATACTGGTCAAGCCTGACTCCTACCACGTGGACGCCATTGGTACAGCTTCTCCGCCAGGATCAAAGGAAGCCGACCCTGTTGTGGAGCCAACTTCACAAGAAAAAACGATGCCGACACCAAAAACCGCCCCTATCGTGGCGCCAGCACCTAAAGCCGCCCCTTTCGTGGCGCCATCACCTGAAGCCGCCCCTATCGTGGCGCAAAACAACCTAACTGCGGCTGTAATCAACAGCCCTCCGATCACTGCCCGCTGCAACAAGAGTACCCGGAAGCCGGAGAGTCTCCTCCCAGGGATTAATCAGTGTTAACGCTGCAATATCGCATGGCACACCGCCACGACCTGCCGCAGCAGGTACTGCTCAAAACATGCACGAATGAAAGGACTGCCCCCTGATGAAACTAGACACCGACTTCAAAAAGCCGAACACCAATAGGAGGTGTTCAAACTGCACAGGCGCTCACAGTGTGAGATACCTAGGATGCTTTTACCTCAAAGACATGAAGAGAGCGGTGGTTACTGCCGTCCCCAGAAACGCACAGAGGTAAGAGGCGCCCAGACCGCAGCTAAGAAACCAGTCCACCCTGCCATTAAAAGCCATACAGATGGAGAAGAAGAACGCAGCCACCAAGGACCAAGATCTAGAAAGAACGACATCGGAACTAAGAATCGAAATACAGAAGCAGAAAGCCGTTGCCGCTGCCGAAAGAGCCGAATTAATCTCCCTGATGCTCGGAGAAAAAAGAGCCCTCAAAGATGACAGGATAGCGTATGCTGCACAACTAAGCGAAAGTAAGAAAGAAGCCACACAAACCAAAGATAGCATCAGCGCTTTAATTGCAAGTTTGACAGCTGCCCAGGTAGCAGACGAACGACGCAGACAGAAAGAGAGAGAGGAGAGAAGCAGAGAGGTGGCCGTGCTGAAAGATGCGAGAGAGGAAGCCTACAGATAAATCTCCCGACTAGTGCGGGCTAAATCAGAAGCAGAAGCGGCTGAGATGGCAATCAGAACAGAGTGCGACCTATTGCATAAAGAAAGGGGTGCAGTCAGTATAGAGGCAGAGAAACCACGTGTCAGCTGGGCGGACAAATGCACCTAAACAGACAAATCAATGCAGACGGCTAATAAAGGCACAGCCACTGAAGAAGGGACAATGAAGCACTGGACACAGCTGACTGAACCCACCAAAAGCACAGACTAAGGCACAGAAACACATAACATTGATCACAACGTCAAAGAGCCGACGGCCCACATCGAGTCTACCAGAGAAGAATGACGCCAACTTGACGAAAAATGGAAGAGAAGAAAGTTCTACAGGCACAACTATCAGTGGTATGGGCACAACTAGATACCCACAAAGTAGAAGATATTGATGAGGAAACAGGAGCCAACTACTGGAAATTTAAAAGAACCATACCGGCCGAGAAAACAAAACAAACCCAATGGCAGCGAACACCCAAAGACAAGCGAGGTAGACGAGGGAACTTCCAATACTAAGACAGCTGCCAACACCAGACCCGCCCATCCCCGTTCTAGGCCGCCCAAGGCAAAACTGGCCGTACTTTTTAGGACTGTCTAAATCCACTCTCACAAAGCCAAAACGATCTGGACCAGTGCCAAGAAGCAGAAGACAGACTGCAGCAAAGCTCAGCAAAAGAAGCAAGCCCAGAAACTAGGCCGCCATCATCGACGTAAAGCTAGCTCACCAAAAACGCTGACAAGCCGGTGTCCTCCGCAGCAAAGCATGCCACTTTGCACGAAGCATACCTGTTCTAATCTTCCTCAGCATGCTTTGTGAGTCAGTTACAATCACGATGTGTGTGTGTGTGTCGTATCTCTAGCCAGCGGAAAGCTGCAGTGACCGCCTCCACCTCTATTCTTAAGCTGGATGTTGTGTTATTATATTCTAGGCTCTCCTGCACCAAACGTCGACCATTAACTTTTGCTAAGAAGCCCCAAGCACTTCTTTTGCCTCTTGACACTGAACCGTCTGTGTAAATGATCAAATCCTCTGAGCGAGCATTCTCTTGAATTAATTACTGAATTTCCACCTCCGTGGCACCTGCTGGCCAGTCTCTGCATTCCCGGCTCAGCCTGATTATGACTCTACACAAGTCTGACGGTTCAGGTGTCACTTTGGCCCACTTCTCTCCTCGCCTAATGTTCTCAAGGATGCGAACCTGTCTGATTGTGTCTTCTGTCTGAGCCATCCATGACTTCCGTCTTATCAGCCGCTGACCCTTAACTGCACCCAGAGCTTCTTGCAAAGGGTGGTCTGTGTTTGCAGCTACCCTGAGATATGACTTCACCTGCAGCACCTTCTGCCTATCTGCAACCGTCGGCAAACCAAGAATGTATCGCATGCACACCACTGGGGTGTATCTGGTGCAACCCAGATGACCCGCATAGCCGCGTTCTGTATGCGCTCTAATTTGTCCATCTGACTCTGACATGGTCCTTAAAGGACACTCTTGTCAAATGTAATTCCCAGATACTTCAGTTTGCTCTCTCTGGTGACGTTTCTACTATCTATCGTGAGACTTGGGACATTAGCTTTAACGATTCTGTTGTCCAGAAAACACCACAAAACAGACGCCTTTTCCCGGTGGATGACAGCCCTCATTGCTGTACACCACTCAGTCACTTTGTCTACTGTCGCTTGTGGCTCCCGGGCTGTTTGTTCCCTCTCTTCCCCCTGTCTATATGCAAGTATATCATCCGCAAAAGTCAGTATCCTTCCAACTCCTGGTGCTTCTAGGCTTGCAATCTTGCTCGTATACACGTTAAAGAGCACAGACGAGATGGCGGATCCCTGTGGCAGTTCTGGGGCCAAACTTCATGGTTCTGAGGTCCATGACAAATATGAGAATACCCTGGACAGATAAAAATAGTAATGAAGACGACTAGAAAGAAACTGACTAACTAAAAGAACTGATTTCCCACATCAGAAAGAGACCCCCCCCCCCCCCCCCCCCTTCAACCCCCCTTCGAACCTGCAGTATCTTTTAAATCATATATAGAAGAGGGACGCTAGAGCCGTGGGGCTTAGGCCAGTGAGACCCCCACAGTTTTCGTTTTTCCGGCCGTGGGGGTCTCACTGGCCTAAGCCCCACGGCCGGAAAAACGAAAACTGAAAAAGAGAACTTGGCTAGGAGTGGAGGCAGTTAAACTCCCTTAAGATTTAAATGGTTCAAAGTGCCCCCTTAAAGTGGGCTAAGCGCACATTTTCCAGTGCGCCCCCCCCCCCCCCCCCCGCCTCTCCCTCTCGTATTTACGGAAACATAAAACATGCACAGTTTAAGAACCGCTCTGTCATTTGCTGTAAGAGTTTAACCAATCTCTTGTTGTTGCCTTGCTTCTGTAAATATCACAGGGAACCATTAGCTCTGCGCCTGTAACAGAAAACATAAACGATTGCAAATATGGCTTCTGGTGTACATAACAGTTAGTAAATTAAAGAATTATCGTCTCTCTCTCTCTCTCTCTCTCTCTCTCTCTCTCTCTCTCTCTCTCTCTCACACACACACACACACACACACACACACACACACTAAGACACAATTTGACCCGTGAATTCACATAATCAATCGTTCACACAAATAGGCTAACACGCACACAGGCGGTAACGCTCTCACACAACCTGCTAACTATTTTAAGACACCACCGTCCAATCTCAGAAAACTGTAAAATATATACGCCTTTTAAATATATGGATGACAGAAACACGTTCTCAATGCATTTTATTTAGTACGAGAAATATTAAAGAATGTGTCTGCAAAATCAGGTCAGTCATTTATATAATCCTTTTTTTAAGGCTCTATTTAAAAAAAAAAAACTGTTCTTTTTTAATATCCTCATCATCATCATGTAGCAGGTCCTTTGCAGAACGTCGCTCTCATCACAGTCTGTCTGTAAGAAACTCGGTCTCTTGCCAGTTCTCCCGCCTCATGAACTTTCACACTCAAGGAGTCACTTATATCCTGTGCCCAACTTTGTGTCGGTCGGCCCCTGCCCCTGCTTCCTGGTACCATGCCTTCTGCTATAATTTTTTCCAATCCGTCGTGGCGCTTGATATGACCAAAATATTTCAGCTTTTCAAGAAAGGATGCTGTTTATCAGCCAATCTTCCTTGATGTTCAGATCTTTTAAGATGTCAATATTTATCATCTTCTTTGTCCAAGATACTTCTGAGAATCTTTCTACAGCATTTCAGCTCAAAAGCCTCTATTTTTTAATATCCTACCCCAAGAAAATTGCATTTGTGATTAAAAAACCCGGGGAATTTGTTGTTACAGTGTAATCCTATATGGAAGGGTAGGCTTATATCTCAATCCAGCACTGACTACAGTCTACTTTTCATAGTACTTGATGGTGATATTATATTTAATGAACACAGAGACAATATATTGATTGGCACTCATAGAAAGAAGAAGAAATACACTAAATGGTTTGAAATGAATTATGTCCGTATTCTATAGTTGTGGATTACAAAATGTACGATAGACGTGGCAACGAAGACACCGCTTTTTTTTTTTTTTTGGGGGGGGGGGGGGCGAAGGGGGTTGCCTAGTTGGTTGCATTCTTAGTGCGCTTGTTTCCACAGCGAGGCGCACACGCCATTTTGAGGTGACAGGTTCGATTTCCGGCACGGATAACTATAGCTTCCAATTTTTATATTGTCTAGTCTGTCCTTCTTTCTTTCTACTTATTTCTATGAATGCCAATCTTTGTTACATATATATTTGTTAATATATATATATATATATATATATATATATATATATATATATATATATATATATATATATATATATATATATATATATATCCCGGCTCTCTATCGTAGTTGGCTAAACCTGATTTCGCGGTGACCGGGTGACGAACTACTTGTGGTCCAGGTTCAATCCAGGGGGTAGGCAGAAAAACCACATTTCTCCCAGATTTACGGTATCTATCTTGGAATCAAGGCCGAAGGGTTGCGATATCCATAGTGTTAAGCCAAACGGTTAAGAACTTATGGTTTCTGGATTTTTAAACGGCTTAAAGGATTCTCCCTCTGTTTATTTACCTGATAGTGATGAAGCCAATGATGGCTGGATGGGGAAACGATCAATAAAATGCTTTAAAAAATATATTATTGGACATTTAATAAAGCAAATTATCATTACAGAAAAGTACGCACTTTCAGGGTTGGATTCAGACTTTATATGGATAAAGGAAATATACTGTTTGATTTTTAGTAGAAGAAGTATTTGAGAATGCGAGTGCCAAATCAGATACATTCTATTATGTAGTCCCCTAAAAGGTCTTTAAATATAAACTGCAATTTTAATGCATTAAAATAAAATTGCATTTTTGAAAAAGCAAAAAGGAATATTTCAGGCCTTGCATATTGTGACGCCCTAAGCTGTAGTTTATTCAGCATATGCCCAAATCAACCCAGCGCTATGTACGCTCCAAAGATAATCAACCAGAAAAACTATGCTCACGTTTCCATAGATGCTCTCCATTAGTATCGGCTTTGGTAGAACTGAGGGGCGAGATGGTGTAGCTGGAGGAATCACTTAAAGATATAATGGAATAGGAATGATCAAAATAATTAATAATAAAACAAACATTCGTTAATTGAAACATGTTATTAATATTGTCATTAGCATTACTGCGCGACAACTTCCGGTCAAAATGGACGCTAGGCACGGTCACTGTTGTGGGCCGTGGCAAATTTTTTTTGCTTCTGCCAGACGGTGGCCGGTGCATTTTTGATCCCATTTGTAAACTGAAAGGATAGCTTCGTCGCCCAGCTTCTGAGATGAGTGCATGGCGTGACACTGTGAGCTGCGGATTTCATTTGGAATGTCTGTCTACTGTGACCAATGTGGTGGTGTAAATTGTAGATTCAGAAAATGACGCGATGCCTGTTGTTGCAATATTGGTGGTGCCATTATGTGATTAAAATTGATCGCGTGTGCAACTGTTGATCTGCTGGTGACTTCTGCTACCATCCACGATGAACTGCATTTCTAATGTCGGACTGTTTGCGTTAGCACTTCAGATGGATACCGTATGCTGTTAATACGTGTGTATGCTACTTCTAATGCATATGCCGAGACAGCAGTCTGTCAATCTTCCCACTAGGGACTGCGATAAACATTCTGTGTGTTTTTCGTTAGCACAGGAACGGAGCAACTATGGGGTGACCCGTTTGCTATGTAGATGAAACTTAGATTACCAGACTACCAGTAATACTGCTCAATTCGTAATGGTTTAAGCTATTTGAAGGTGAAACTAAAAAAGCATCCCCCTCCCCCCCCCCCCCCCCCCCCAAAAAAAAAAAAAAAAGCATTTCAGAGGAGCCGACTAATTACGGAGATTTCCTCAAAGTTTGAGTAAATCTGCCTGAGAGGTAAGGAACCAACAGTCTAAATACAAATAAGTCAGATCTGTAAAAGGGGTGTGCACGCAACATTCATGTTCTAGAATACGAATAAAGAGTTTGACGAATACCCAAAACATTCCGCCACAAGTTTACAGCTGATGAACGCTGAGAAGAAGAAAAGGAAAAGAAGAAGAAGAAGAAGAAGAAGAAGAAAAAGAAGAAGAAGAAGAAGATCATGCACCCATTTATAATGCGTGCCAAGCACAGAGTTAAAAAAAAAAAACATACGATAATTTTGCCTCTAATGATGATTTAACAGGATGTTCCTGATTATCATCAATATTGACATCATCATCTTCATCATAACAATCGTCATCATCATCATCGTCATCATCCTCGTCGTCATCATCATCATAATCTTGAACCTTCATACGACACAATAGGACTCGCAGTCTTTCCCTTCAGTACGTTCTATCTTGTACAATTCTTTTGATATCATGAATAGTACACTGTCAGGCACCACTGGTCTCTATCATTGACGTTCGTCTTATGCGTTTACATAGGAGTCCTCTTTTGCTCAATCCATTGGTTACCTCAGTTAAGAGTTACCATCTTACCTAAAAAGAATTTGGAAGCAACAGATATGTGGTTTCTGAGACGAATGTTACGAATACCTTGATGGCCAGAGTAACTAACAACGATTGCTTGAAAGAAGCTAATGAAAGTAGATCTCTGTATACAACAATAAGAAAGAGACAAACACTGTTCTTTAGCACATAATGAGAAGAGATACATCGGAGAACATCGTGACAACTGGAAAGATCAGTAGAAAAAAAGGATAGAGGCAGACCAAGAGAGAAGATGCTGGATGGGCTGAAATGATAGCATGGAGTGATATCATCAAGAGAGCTGTTCCAGGCAACCAGGGATCCTGATCTGTGGAGACGCATGAGCGCCTACGCCAGTTGGCAGGGCACATGATGAGGATCATGTTTGTTTACCTCAGTTTACTAACAGCTAAACATTTGAAAACTGTAATTCTTCTTTGCGTTGATTTCAACAACGGCATAGAGCGCCCACCGTTTAGAAGGCAAACTAATGAACATGAAATCGCCTAGTAAAACTGCAAATATCCAACAAATACTGACCTTGGTTCACTATCACTAGTATGTTACATTTACTACTTTTTAGGGCGGTGTAGACGGTCTGGGTGGGGGGAGGGGGCCGAGACTGAGGATTTAGGGTCGCATGAATGTGATTGTGACCATGAACTGTGCAGCGTAGGATTGTATTTTTGCCCCCAACAGACAAACGCTCATCCCCTCACCGGGTTTCAGACTCCGTAACCAAGACAAATACAGAATACTAGGTCCCGAGCTACTACCTTGTAACAGTCAAACAGCAAAAGAAGAAGAACTCGACGTTGTTACCGTTTTGCCAACCGCTCCTCTGGGGGCGTGAAAGGTCCTCTGGGAGCGTGAAAGGTCCTCTGGGAGCGTAAAGGGTCATAAGGGGGCGTGAAGGGATTTTAATAACAGGGAAAGGGGAGGGCTAATAAAATGGGGGTGGGGGGAGGTTTATAACGTTCTGTAAATAAAATATAACTAACTTTAAATCAATCCCTCACTTTGACGTTGATAGTTAATGTTTTTTTCCACTTACCGGCTTCATACATTTCGCCGGAGTTATCCTCGTCAATTGACAACTTGTTTATGGCATTATAGCCTACAGGAATGTCTTTGGATGTCTGTTTGGTATACTGACTTCGAGGGCGCAGTTCAAAACTTTGGCACTTTCTTCTGTAGATGAATGTTGAAACACCAAGAAACACAGCTGCGCAGGCGGCGACGAAAACGCCAATACCAAGTCCAATGATTAAATACTGCCTTGTGGAAACCTCAGACGTTCCATCACCTTGACTGAGACCTGAATGTAAAAGGTTTCATCAAACTTAGTTCAGAAAGACGCAAATTCAGATTGGATGCTTCTCCCCCTCCCCCACCCCCCCCCCCTAAAAAAACAACACACAATAACACACATATAATGACACTCACACATAATCAAATACATAGACAGAAGAGATTAGGAATGAACAGAATGTTGCTGAAATTAAAGAGAGAGAGAGAGAGAGAGAGAGAGAGAGAGAGAGAGAGAGAGAGAGAGAGAGAGAGAGAGAGAGAGAGAGAGAGAGAGAGAATATACGATTTTGGCCACATTAAAAGACACAGTACTCTTTTAAATACCCAAACCTGAAGGAATGGAAGCAAGAGGAAGCCAATATTAAAAGTGGGATGGCAACATCAAGAGATGGACGAACAGAAATCTGAGAGAGTGTACAACCCAGACAAGAGACAGAGTTTGTTGGAGATCCACTGAAGCCAACCTTCACTGCAGAGACGGCACCTGATTAATTGATACTTCTTCTGCTCTGTACGCATCCGATGAAGTATGTACCCCCAACCTTTGTTCACTGAATGTCCATAACTTGCAGCTAACCACACACCCTGCACATCTTGTTCACTAGTCTCTAATTGTGTATTTTATTGCAAAGACTTTCACAGAATTTGTTTCTTAAAAAGTATGTTACTTGGCCCTTTAGATGAAGCAAAAAATGGCAAACACTTTGCCCCACCAAGTATGTCGTAGAAAGCTTTTGGGTTGGCTACCTCAGCCGTAAAATAACTTCACCTGCAAAAAGTTAACCAACAATAAACATAAATCGCGCACGCATACACGCCTACATATATATACACACACACATATATGCACACGACCACACATACACACACTGCTTCTTCTTGAGCATTCCGAGCGAGAAGAAGCGACTAAAAATGGTTGACGTGCTACTGGCTAACTCAAACCAAAGACAGCTTTACAATGTTATACTAAATATACTATTCCTTGCTTTTCTATTAGCGACACACCAAAGACAGCTTCACAGTGTTATACTAAATATACTAATCCTTGCTTTTCTATTAGCGACATACCAAAGACAGCTTTACAGTGTTATACTAAATATACTAATCATCCTTGCTTTTCTATAAGCGACATACCAAAGACAGCTTTACAGTGTTATACTAAATATACTAATCCTTGCTTTTCTATTAGCGACACACCAAAGACAGCTTTACAGTGTTATACTAAATATTCTAATCCTTGCTTTTCTATTAGCGACACACCAAAGACAGCTTTACAGTGTTATACTAAATATACTAATCCTTGCTTTTCTATTAGCGACATACCAAAGACAGCTTTACAGTGTTATACTAAATATACTAATCCTTGCTTTTCTATTAGCGATATACCAAAGACAGCGTTACAGTGTTATACTAAATATACTAATCCTTGCTTTTCTTTTAGCGATATACCAAAGACAGCTTTACAGTGTTATACTGAATATACTAATCCTTGCTTTTCTATAAGCGACATACCAAAGACAGCTTTACAGTGTTATACTAAATATACTAATCCTTGCTTTTCTATTAGCGACACACCAAAGACAGCTTTACAGTGTTATACTAAATATACTAATCCTTGCTTTTCTATTAGCGACACACCAAAGACAGCTTTACAGTGTTATACTAAATATACTAATCCTTGCTTTTCTATTAGCGACATACCAAAGACAGCTTTACAGTGTTATACTAAATATACTAATCCTTGCTTTTCTATTAGCGATATACCAAAGACAGCGTTACAGTGTTATACTAAATATACTAATCCTTGCTTTTCTTTTAGCGATATACCAAAGACAGCTTTACAGTGTTATACTGAATATACTAATCCTTGCTTTTCTATTAGCGACCTTGTAATACTCCGGGGCTTTTACCGAAATAGGTAACATTGTGAACTAAAATAAAAAGTCCAAGCTTTGTGAAACGCTTTCGCTAGTGAATAGCCGCTTGAATAGGCAGACCGAGCCATAAATATATAACTTGGCGATGTGAAGACGCTCGACTGGTTTATTCGCTCCGGGTTGCTACCTAAAGGTTACCATATCAATCTGAGATTTATTTTTAAAATCTCAGTCTGGACGGCAGGCCAACAAGGCAGATCCCAGATATCAAGTTCAACCTCAAAAGAAGTTATAATTAGGGCACCGGTAACGACTGTATTAGCCAGGTGTAATCTACAGTCCTGCGCAGGTAAGGACGGCTGCGAAGTCGATTATCTCGACTCTAAATACTAACTCACGCACACACCCACCTACACACACACACACACACACACACATCAGTGTACGCGTGGAAACACATACATATGCGTACACAAACACTCATACTATCGTGCTTACACACGTAGACGCAAACGGCCACAGACAATAATACATGCATACATATTCACGCAGACACTCCCTAACAATAACACGCGCGTGAACACACACAAGCATACACCAGGGGCGGGTCGTAATCAATTCCCATGTAGTAAACGATTACACTGGACAGGGTATCACGTGATATTTTCCGCGTCGTCGCTTCGCTGCAGAGAACATGCGCGCACACATAGCATTGTCGTATCAGTAGCTGGTGGGCTTTCTTACTTTTACTTACTCGATCCTCTTCTACCTTAGGATGCAGGGGTTTGCCGATGAGATCGCTAGACTTCTCTATTTGCAGTTTTTTTTTTTTTTTTAATTACTGAACTGTTAGCTTTGACACGTAATTCTGCATTATTGGCTCGAGCCAATATTGCAAACACTGCTCACACAACTTAGCCTTTAGCGAAGAGTGGTAATGCAGTGGATACCATCCCATTGTGGAGTGCCTGGAAATGAGAAAGCTGATCACCTGGCAGGGGAAGGTGTGACAAAAGTGCAGCCAGATGTACCAGTCACACACCACCAAAAGAAAAGAATCCCTAAATCGATCAGGAAGCCACCAGCCCCAGTACAAGACGATTATTTTATTATGGACAAATCAGAACAAGTCATTATCCTCCGCCTCAGAACAGGGGGCAACGGATTACGTAACCACATGTACACAAAATTCAGCCATGTGCACCTGTGGAAATGTGCCCCAGACATCAGAGCATGTACTCCAGGACTGCACCGAATTTGACACATCAAGGCAAACCTTTTGGCCAGAAAGAACAACAGTGGAACGTAAACTCTATGGACCACTGAATGAACTAACAACGACAGTGACATTATAAAAGAGACAAAATTGCTGATACAGACAACTTTTTTCAGGCGAACGAAAGAAGACGAAGAAGGCTCGAGCGTGTCGTAGTCGTTCTGTTCGCCATGTTTGAGTCGTAAATCGAGTGGCGTATTTGTTTTAAAAAAAATTGCAAACATTAAAAACAAATATCTAAATAATGGGCTATCCTCCGATATAAAGGCATAAAATTATAGGTAAGTAGTCGATTTGATATAACATTTTTTCGTTCCTTATTAGTTTTGACTTTACTTTTTGAATGTTTACAACACATGACACTGACTGAGGCTCGTTAGAATATTTTGCGGCCGCCATCTTTGGTGTCCGTTATTCGGAGGATAGCTAAATAATGCATATTTCTTTAACAATGGACAGTGTCAGCAGCAATTCAGCCGTTACATGCAAGCCTCGCCACTGACATACACACTACTACACACAATCAAACGCCCGGTGCTAGCTACAGAAACATACTTAGTGTAACTTGGTAGACGTCACTGTAGACTCCTGCAGCCTGGTCGCCATTGGAGACATCAGGAAAGATTTTCACTTTGATATAGTTGTCTCCCGTGCGAAAATTCTGCAGCTGCACGGACAACGTACATTCAGCAGTGTAGTAGACTGGCGTTTCATTTCTTGGTGAGTTTTTGCATGGATATATTTTACTTACTGGTCTGAAAGTCGCCTGTTAAAATGATGGGGGAGGGGGAAGTAAGGTGGTTAATGGAACCTTGATGAAGAGGATGCAAGATGGTTTATTTCATATGCCAGAGGAAATGAAGAAGGAGGAGGAGAAGCAGAAGAAAAAGATTAGTTTCTTAAGATTTTTTTTTTCCTGTACATAATAATAATATTGTGCCAAAAAAAAAAAAAAAAAAAAAAAAACTGTACTGAAAATAAATTGAAATAATATATTCAAAAACTTTAAAATGTCTAGACATGATTGGGCAGAAGCTGATATGGGAAGCGTGGGGCGGGGTCGCTTAGCCCACTTAGAATTTTTCCCCGGAGGTGGTTGCGCTGTGGGGGGGGGGGGGGGATTCTTCTCAAATGACTTATGTCCCTAGCCCTAATTCCAAAGCAATTTTTTGATTCTGTCATGACTTTATATAGCGCAACATAATGCTATTGTCTGGAAAGAAGCAAAGTTGCCAATTGTAAATTGTGTATGCCCTGCTCAATCAATCAATCAACAATCCACATCGCGCTGAAAGGCACATAAGGCAGAAACAAACTGTCGACACTCAATTCGATCCAATTTTGTCCTTTGCTTAGCCTTGAGCTCAGCCTCAAGAGTTCGCATCCAAGCGCCTCTGGTCCTGTCTCTTCCTCGCTGTCATTGTGGTGTCCATTGCATTGCCTGTCTCTGCCGTCTCTCTTTCTTCATGCCGAGGACATGTCTTATCCACCTAGTCTTCGTTTCTTGATTTCTAAATTTACATCTTCTAAGTCTGTTATTTCTTGTGATCTAGAATTGCTGATTTTATCTTCTTATGTGAGCCTAAACGATCTTCTGAGAAGTCTTCCTTCAAAACCTCTGAGTATGCTCTCTATCTTTCTGTCTGTTTTCTGTTTCTGCTCCATGGAAGAGAACTGTCCTAACGCATGTTTTGTATATCCCGATTTTAGTTTTAGTAGTGTAGATATTTGATCTCTAGACACTCTGAAGTCTGTTGTAAGCAGCATTTGCCTTTGCAATTCTTTGCTTGATTTTAAACACTACATTCCATCCAAGGAGATATTGCTTCCCTGGTAGGTGAAGTCAGTTACTGTTTCTAAACCTACATTATCTATTACTTTAGGTCTTTGACTTTCGGGGTTTATCTATAGCAGTTTTGTTTTATTGACATTGATTCTTAACCCTGTCTTTTTGGCTATTTCTGTGATCTTATCCGCCTTTTGTTGCAGATGTTCTTTACTTTGGCTGACAACACATATTATCGGCAAAGTCCAAATGTTCGAGGTGTTCGAGAAGTTCCACTGAAGGCATGTACGTGTGCCTGTGGTTGCTTTCTTCGTAACATAATTTATCACTATAAGAAACAAGAAATGTGACAGCATGCACCCTTGCTGGACTCCTGATGCTACCCTGAAGTATTCTGTTTCTATTAGTCCTACTTTCACTTTGCATTGGTATCCTTTATAGAGTCCTATAAACATAATTTTATCTGGTAACCCATACACAGCAAGAATCCTCCACATCATTGTTCTCTCTAGACTGTCAAAGGCCTGCTAATGATAAATATCACAATGTCAGCTGGGAAAATGAACGAAAGAAGGAATAGGGACGCAGGCCCGTCTTACATTCGGCCCTTTCAAACATCCGTCTTTCACACTGAAGCTGTATTTTATCAATAAGCATGTTATATTCATTTGATATTATGCACATTATATATATCACAAAAAGGGGAAAAAGAAGAAAAAGCACAAAAGCATGGTTGGTAAAATGCATGCACACACACACACTCACCCACTCACTTAAGCACACCCACATACCTTCACACACACATAAACACACCCCATTCACCCACATAATACCTACATACCCACACAGACACGCACATTCCACACACATACAGACACACAGATATATACACACAGACACACACATGGAAACAAATGCAGACACACACACACACAAACAGACTTGCGCGCACATACCCAATCTCACACGCAGATACATACACACAGACACACACATGCGACACACACACACACACACACACACAAACCGGCATACACACACACGCAGACACATATGCACAAACACACGCAGACACAAACACACACAGATACACGCAGAGGCACACCCACAGACACACAAACGCAAACATATACGCAGACATACATATACATAGGCACACACAGTGAGACACACACGCAGATACACATACACACACATGTAGACATATCCAGAGACACTACACACAGAGATACACACACACACACACACACACACACACACAGACATACACAGATATATACACCCAGAGACGTGCATATACACAGGCATTCACGCAGATACACATACACACACAGGCACATACAAAGACACACACATAAACACAACAAAGACACACACATACAAACACACATGCAGACAAACACACAGCTACTTACACTTAGAACACACATACAAGCAAACACATGCATACACACAAACAAACGCACACAGACACACATACATAGATACACACCCACAGACACACATACATAGATACACACCCACAGACACACAATACAAATATCCTTACACACAGAGACGCACGTATACACAGACATTCATTCAAATGAGAGGGGGCAAGGTCCCTTAACCACGGGGAAGTCGTTTGACTGTTTGTTTTGTGCTCTCCTCGTGTGGGTTTCGGGGCTCTTGTGTATGTAAAACAATAGACCCACTACATCTCCTGCAGGGAAGGGGTTTGGCAGGCGTGGGAGGGGGGGGGTGGGGGTATAGATCTACTGCCCCGTAAAAATTGACTAATTAGGGTGTTTCTTATAAAGTCGGATGTTACTAGCTGAGATGCGAGGATCCGAGGATACAATAGTACAAATAAGTTAGATGCGTTAAACGTGTGTGAGGGCAAAACTCAAGTTCTGGAAAAAGACCAAAGTCTAGGAGTGGACGAATCACAAGAACTTTCTGCCGGAGTTTACAGCCGTTGAATGCTAAGATAAAGAAGAAAAATACGCCACCAACGAGCGAAAGCCTGACCTTGTCTGTGCTAATGAAGGTTTGATAGGAAGCATACGGGTAGATTCGATCCGTGGTACACACTATCGGCATACGGTCGCTGCTGGTGTTAAATGGTGGGAACTCGCACTTCACGTTCGTGGGTGTACCTGTGAACATATAATAATGGGTGCAAATCAAAACTGGTTTTAAGGTGAAAATAAACACAACGGAACGATCCAGCGACTTTCGTTATGCTAACTAAATGATACTAGTACTAGTAGTTATTATAATTAAAAGTAAAGGAACCATTTTTAAGCCACTAAAGGTTTTTGGCTTCTGGGTTGCCCAGCCCTGAGTCACATGCGACTTTCTGTTATGTTTAATGTTTAATTAAGAAACCACATCACAGGACTCGGGACATTCCAATAAGCGCTTCGTCCCCCATCTTCAGCAGCAAGCAAAGAGTTCCAATTCCAGTGGAACCAATATTAGTCTAATTGTATATCCGTCTCACCTTTCCCTTGAGTGCTGATCGTCGACCCGATCCCTTGGTCACTCTTCGGAGTACCATCTCTGTTCTGAAAATCATTACTGCCTTTTTTTTTAAATATAGCTACCATTACTGTGCAAAACTACACATATAAATTGATTGTTACAGAGTAAATGTACGTTATAAAGTTACAGTTACAACAACAAACAAATCAATACTTTTGTTTTCAGTTAACTGCCCCGTAACTGAATTCCATATTAAACGGACCTTGACAGTTTATGTATCCTGAAGTTACAGGTTTAACCCCCATCATGATAACTATGGCTTTTAATATCCACGCTGTTTAGTGCGTCTTCTATCTGTGCCTCTTTCTGAGTGTCATTCATTTACATATCTGTTTGTTTATTTTATACTCCTAACTGCGGCCTTAATGTTTCTCAACCTGTTCATTACTGTATGTTACTATTCGACTTAAAGTAACATCAACACTGACTACAAAGAACCGTTTTTTAAGATCATTAAAAAGACTGTTTGCTTACATATAGTAGTGAAGGTGTATAGGTACAACCAACGTTGCAGAAAAGAGAGTGAGGCGGTACCGGGTGCCATCATTTGAGGGAAAGGGGTGGGGACAAAATGGCAAAAATATGTCATAAGTTACCCTTTTAAATACTTGGTGGTGTGGGGGGAGGGGGGGGGGTGGAGTTAGAAAAAAAAATCCGCACCGGGTACCACCTTACCTTGCTAGCCCAGTGTATACAGTAACGAGTAATTGTTTCAATAAACAATCCAGTCTTTTGACATCGCCAGGAGGGATGTCACCACACGAGCTCATGAATACTGTCGGACCTGGCAGCCCGAGAAAAGGCATGATCGCCCACACCAGTCGACAAGACATTTGACAATAATGATGATGATGAGACAATCCAGAACTCACTATAAACTTGTAAGGGACCGCACACGGTACGGTTCACATCGCACCGCCAGGTGGTTGAAACACTGAAAGGGTCCGTCCTGGATACGTTGTCAATGGTTAAAATGCTCTTATTGCTTACAACTCTAGCTTTGAACCCAGGAGATGCTTCACATCGACCGAAGTAGCAGGTGGCTACAGTGCTGTGGTAGGTTTCATTTATTACTGCTGTCCAAGGAAGCTGGAAGTTGGGTCCTATTCTAGACACGTCGAAAACGCAGGATATATTATGTGGGGTCCCTTCTTCTGCTGGCAGACATTGGTCGGCAACTAAAGATTATCAAAAGGAAAATAAGTAAATAAAGCAAAGCATTTTTTGTGTGTCAATAAATAAATGAATAAATAAATTTTAAAAAAAATCAGAACTGGCCGGTTTCCCCAGTAAAATATAAACACTGGTGACAAAGTGGCGTCCGTGGTTTTGGCGATTCGAGTCCGACTCGTAATGTCCAACGTACCGCGACTGAAATCCACTGCTGGCTGTGTGGATTTTCATCATGGTATGAGGCGTCGCAGGTCGACCCAGCCTAGAATGGGTACCAGTTATGTATGTCCTAGGGAAGTAAAGAGGGCCGGCGTAATGCTGACCACATTACCCACCTAGTGCAGATTGATTTGTAGAAAAATATGGGCGCTCTTCCTATACGCTCGATGCGCCTAAGGCGTGAAAATGGATCTTGACTTTACTTTTTACTTACTTACCGGTGACAAAAGAAAGGTGTTCGTTTAGTGTAAATAGACGTGTTAATCTTGAAGTTTTAAAAAATGCAACACTTTTCTCAGCTGACAGTGTCATAATTTTGTTCTAAGGACATTACAACACATGCAGCATAGTGCTATACATTACATATTAGTCTTCAGTCTTTTCTACTATTGCGTTGTAATCCTGCATATATTCAGTGTTGTTGATGGAATCCAGACCAGGATCTTTGGCCACACTCATCAACGTTCGTGCTAGGGTTTCTTTTTTGATATCACTATATAGAACTATATATATATATATATAATATATATATATATATATATATATATATATATATATATATATATATATATATTTCTCAAGTATCCAGAAGCCATGATTTGTTAACCCTTAGGCTCGGTACTATGGATATCGCAACCCTTCTGGCATGATGATAAAAGTCCATGATAGATTTCCACCATAAACTCTGGGAGAAATGTGGTCAGCATTTACGCCGGCTGTCTTTTCTGCCTACCCCTGGGTCGACCTGCACGTCGGACAAAAATCACAAGGAGTATGCGTCGACGGACTCGCAACGCCTTTAGTGATTCCCATGACATACGCTTTTCTGCAAACCCTGGGCGTGCACCGGACCACAAGGAGTTCGTCACCCGGCCATATATATATATATATATATATATATATAATATATTATATATATATATATATATATATATTATATATATATATATTGCTCTCTGAAAGTCAGTCGAGTCTGAAAAGGCAGACATACTCTTGTACCCTTTTCAACCACATGATAATTCTAATTATGGCGCGGTGACAGCTAGGCCAAATGAGTCCACTCTTGAACTAGACAGGCGGTGATTTTACCATTGCTGCCTAGGAGTATTATGATTCAATCGTAAGTGCTGTGAGGATATGTGTATAACGCTCTCCGTTATCGGATGTTAAAAATTAACGCTCGTTGTTGCAAATATTTCTAGCAGTTCCAAAAATTTTGCTATTTGTTTCACACCCGCTATAGTATATGATTACATGTTCATTAAATGAGAGGTAAGTCTTAAGAGAACTAGCGAATTAACAAACAGATTAAAAATTATAAATTCACAAATTAGAAGAAGACCTAGATAATGAAACAATTAATTAAGAAATACTAGATGAAATGGTTTGGTCATGTTACGAGAATGCTCTGGTACAAACCGCTACAGTCAGCCACGCTGAATAAATATGATGAGCATAGAGCATGGCGAAGACCATGCAAAACATGGAACGATGGCATCCAGAATGACAGTAAAGAAATTTAAGATCAACTTATACAATGTACAAAAAGCAAACTGAAGGTTTGTATAAAGCAATATTTTAAGTGTTACTTGTTACACTTCCTCCCCCACCCTTTTCCGTCCCGACCACTTCGAAGAAGTAGTAAGAAGAAGAAGAAGAAGAAGAAGAAGAAGAAGAAGAAGAAGAAGAAGAAGTAGTAGTAAGAAGAAGAAGAAGAAGAAGAAGAAGAAGAAGAAGAAGAAGAAGAAGAAGAAGAAGAAGAAGCAGAAGAAGAAGAAGAAGAAGAAGAAGAGAAGAAGAAGAAGAAGAAGAAGAAGAAGAAGAAGAAGAAGAAGAAGACGAAGCAGAAGAAGAAGAAGAAGAAGAAAAAGAAGAAGAAGAAGAAGAAGAAGAAGAAGAAGAAGAAGAAGAAGAAGAAGAAGAAGAAGAAGAAGAAGAAGAAGAAGAAGAAGAAGAAGAAGAAGAAGAAGAAGAAGAAGAAGAAGAAGAAGAAGAAGAAGAAGGAGCTATTTAAAACTTGTTACTTATTCTATCTTTCTGTTTGCTGTGATGTTTATTGTTGGTCATCCAAACTACATTTTTTATTCTGCTGGTTTCGAATGCACTTCCTGGTAGGTAACTCACTACGAGCTTTTAAGTGTTACTTGTATCAAGCAGGATGTAGAAAGATCTGAAAGCCTAGTGGACAACACGTTTGCCTAGAGCGCCTGTATCCCTCTCTAGACGTTTAAAAAAAAACACACACACAAAGTACGTCGAGTTCCTTGTTGTCTCAGTCTTTATAAG